GCGCTACGACGTGTGTCAAAGTGCCCCAATTGAGGAGATTGAGGAAGGATGGACATCAATCTCTCGTCCAACGACAAATTCAATACGGAGAGGAAGCTTTCACATTGATGAAAGGAGAAGAGGTTGGGAAGACTTTGGGATTCCTCTCTCTCCAGAAGATTTTCGTGAACTGGAGTCAATGGGCGTGCCGTCATCTCTTGGCGTTGGGAGGACCACGGTGAGAGATCCCAACCTGAGAAGTTCGCTAGAAATTTGCGGGGAGACCGTTAATGTGAATGAAAACCTTATGACGTTGCTGGAGAAGGAAGTCGAGGAAATGAGGAAGAAATTGCGCCACCCATTTCCATTCCAACCAGTGTTCCATAAACTATTGATCTATAGAAAGGGTGATTTTTTTCGGGAGGTGAGGCAAACAGTTCTAAGATCTTCTTCAGATCATTTTTCCATCTCGCAGCATCTGGATGCCGTTCATCGAGATGGAATGTTGGCGACTCTTTGCGTAGAATTGTTAGTAACACAGGATGACAACAAGACTGGTGATAACAAGACTGATGATGACAGTTTTGATGACGGACAAGTCCGATGACGACAAGTCCCGATGACGACAAGTCCGATGACAACAAGACTGATGACTGCGACAACGACCTCAGTGAAGATGAATACCTGAGGGATGTTCCCGAACATTCCACTAACGATTGCACTCCGGGCCTTGTTGTTGAGGGCAATCCCGTAAAGCATCCAACTGCAAGAAAACAATTGTCACTTGCAATGTTCTTTCATGGGGCTAAGCAATCAAGTAAATCCCGATCCTCGTCACTACCGAATTTGTTTGACCTTCGACTTGGTTGAAAAAAGTGAAGTGAGGGATGATGGGATGATTGCGAAATATCGCAGTGATGTCGAGAAGGCTCTGAATGAGGTACGAGATAACGCTGAGTGAAAAACAATCAAACAACAATGAGTGACTCAAATAGATAATGCAACTATCCTCCTTCTTTATTTCGTCAGTTGAAACGCCATCAAGCTCCGCGATGTGGAATCCTTCTCCATCACACTCATTTTGAGAGAACTCAACCGAAAGGGGTTGATCGGATTTTGTATGAGATTTTGAAAGATCAGGATGATAAGAGTGACATGCATGTTTTACGACATGTGGTATAGTCGGCTTGGTTTGTGTCGCAAGGAGACTCTCATTTTCGCGTCGCTCGCGGTCCCATTGTCGCCTCTTTATTACCGGGCGGAGCGAGAAGATGCTGACAAAACGACAAACCAGAAGGCCAAAGACGTGCATCGGAAAGACTGACTGAATGGCGGCGCCAGCGGTACAAATTCGCGTGGCCACGGTTTTTGAAGGAAGACCATTGGTCTGACGACAGGTCCTGGGAAGCCAAGAAAGCCAGGAAAAAAATGTACCAAGGGGACGATGGGATTGAAGCTTCTTTCCGACGATGATGTGTTTCTTCCAACGGTTGATCCCGATGGCCTCGTCTCTCTGGAGTATCAAATGGGGGACGTTTTATTTGTTGATTCTGCTTACTCTCATCCAGATATTCTCTACAAGGCTGACGAAAAAGCTTATTTTGGGAATGAAGTAAGAACATATGCGATGATAATTATGATAATTATTTCTGATGACTCTTTTTTTGAAGGGACTTAGCGAGACTGAAATTTTTACGAATCCTGCATTGATTTTTTCGTTAAAGTGATCGTGGTGGAATTTGGGCAAATTCGGCTTCTATTTGATTAAAATTGGTTGTTCGTGCGAATCGTTCTTTCATTTTTCATTGAATGATGGGATTCCAGAATTGTGGTGAATTGCTTGATTCAGCCAAAGATAGATGGGTGCTCTAGTGATTTCACTTGTGCTCGGGTCTGACGAAGCCATTCTTGGTGTTGATCTATTTCTTTGTCCTTCGCAACAAGAGTAGAATGAAAACATTCAATCCGTCCCGAGATTCCAATGAAGAGTAAAATATGCAAACCATAAAGATAACCATAAAGATAACTACAAAGATAACCATAAAGATAACCATAAAGATAACCATAAAGATAACCATAAAGATAACCATAAAGATAACCATAAAGATAACCATAAAGATAACCATAAAGATAACCATAAAGATAACCATAAAGATAACCATAAAGATAACCATAAAGATAACCATAAAGATAACCATAAAGATAACCATAAAGATAACCATAAAGATAAAGATCACCATAAAGATAAAGATCACCATAAAGATAACTATAAAGATAACCATAAAGATAACTATAAAGATAACCATAAAGATAACTATAAAGATAACCATAAAGATAACTATAAAGATAACCATAAGATAACTATAAAGATAACCATAAAGATAACTATAAAGATAACCATAAAGATAACTATAAAGATAACCATAAAGATAACCATAAAAATAAACGAAAAGATAATTGTAAAGATAACCATAAAGATCAAAGTTTAGCAAGAGCAACGATATATCTTTCATCTGGAGAGACGCTTCGCAACATGCGTATTGGAGGCAATCTTGCAGCTTTTATGAATCAGTTGGCTAAAAAGTTGCGTGCTGTGGAGACGAAACCGCTGCACGGATTGAATCAACGAACACCATACAAGCACAATTGGCGCAACTAGCACCTTTAACGGATTTCCAATCCAATCTCGATCTTAGCATGCACCCAATACATGCGCATGGAACCTGCCCAAGATATATGCGTGTGATAGCCCATGCAATACATGCGCGTGACGTGTGCGTGCAATACATGCGCGTGACGTGTGCGTGCAATACATGCGCGTGACGTCCGCATTTCTGAGTTGTTTTGTGTTTGTCAGAAATCGAAAAACTATTTGGTGAAAGTGTTGGGTTGATGACTCATTTCGACGTCTTCTATGAGTGGCTCTGTTGCTGCCATTTCGCCTTGTCTGTTCAAATAGATCCAGTAAGTTGCGAAAAATGCAGAAAGCAGCGCAGAGGATACGCAAAGGATTAGAAACACTGAAACAGAAGAATTTGGGAGATGATGTTAAGGAACAAAAGACCCACAAATAAAAGCGATTCCTTTCACGTAACACAAGCAAAGGCCATTTTGTGACACACCAAAGAGCGAAATCTGTAATTGTAAAACACGTCAGTGAGTGGTTGTTAAAAGGACTTACTGATTGAAACGAACAAAGCGAAATTTCGAGTGGTGGGACACGCTTCATTCAAAACAGGGGAATCAACCGGAGGAGCACGCGACAAAATCAAAGATAGAGTCCCAAAGAGAGGATACGACAGTCCCATTCGAATACTTGTTATAATCATGAGCATGCATGAATATGCAATCATGAAATAAGTCTGAAAATTTGACGCGTTAAGACATATTGATTGATGGTGAAAACCTACGTAAAAATTCTGTCCGAAAATTGGCGAGAAAAACCGCGGAAACAACCAGTTGCGGTATATCCTCAAAGATTCGCATCACCAGTTGATAAGTCCAAGAGAGTCTCTCGAACATATAGAGCGTCTACAAGGCCGAAAAATACAGACACTCGCAGATGTAATCAAGATGTGTTGCGTACTTCGGGTGAAGGGACCCCCACGCTTCGAATTTTGGCAAAAACGTAGAATGGGTAGAAGATTCCTCTATCTATAGGAAATGATTTTTGGTAGATCAACGATTATCTACTTACGCTCTGGTTGAATACGATGATAAATAATAAAGCAACGAGTGCCGTAAGCCATCGCAGAGACCAACCAAATGCATGTGAGATAAAGAATGGAAACTGCTCCCATTCGTTGTAGTAGTGGGTTTTCTAAAAAGCGAGGTTCTGAAGTCATCATTCCAACACGGCAAATGAAGAATAAATCTGGGAGAAAGAGGAAGAGATAGAATTTCATTAAACTCAGGGAAAGGAACTTCTTTGAATTGTTTGTTATTACCATTCAGAAAATCGAAATGTTCCAAAATTTCCCACATGGTTAATCGCGATTGCTTTCCTCGAATTGTGTCTCCTCTAGTTGTGTTTTTAACAAGTTCAATTAGATAAGTGAGGACAGTTGTGTTGTCAGTTATTGCAGATGAGAGTGGGACTTCAAATGGTTGAATAGACGCTGAATTAGACGTGGTTGTCTGAAGTTGACGGCTGACATCATCGGCCGTCGTGCTAAGGGCTGTCAAACAAAAGTAGGACAATAATCACTGCAATGATGATTACCGGGAGTAATGCTTGGGTTTGACTTTCGGACAGACTAGAGTCCCTTTTGGTATTTGATGACGGGAAGGCGGGCCGTCTTTGCGCTCCTACAATCTCTTGATACCTTGGAGGAATGAAAAGAAGGCGTGACTTCCAGAAACGGATAGACTATCGCCGAAAACGACGCCTACAGACTCGCTTGGAGACGAATAAACGATCACTGAACTTTGCATACCATTCATTTTCGCACATTTGCGTCAATCCATCACCACTATTTTCAGTCGTTCGTTTTTTAAAGTCTTTTCGGTGTCCTTCCCTTCGTCTAGCTAGGAGCTCTCTAGCTTCAGTTAAATCATCATCAGCAGAATCTAAAAAAGAAGATTAGAGTGAAATATTGGATGACACTATTGTAGCCATAGAGGACAAGATGAGACACCGATAATGTTGCATGCCATTGCATTCTACTACCTATTTCTAATCCGATCTCCGAGGTGATGCGTCGTCATTGATTTCACGCAACAGTGAATCAAATTCGGGCTGATTATCTGCCCCCACTGAATTGAAACGATCAATCAGTGTATCCCTCGCCATTCTGAGAGCCAATAAGTTCTAACACACTTGAGGGATCCCACCTGTTAGCCACAGTTTCCCAAATGAAGCGTGTTGCTCAAGTTTCGCGTTACTAGGGAATAGAGTTCAACAACTCCAATTGAAAATGTCATAGCGATGCTCTCTCATAAATATTAACGATGGGGGGTTCTGGTCCTGTTTAGGCACACAAAAACGTTAAAAAACCACCTGGCTAAAGAAACGCAAATTTCTAATCAACAGCAAGAAATCCGCAAGCAACGTCGAGCGACAATTCTACAAATTCCTCTTCCGTGATAGGTGCCAGTCCCTTGAACTTTCTTTTGACATTGAGTTGATGCCATTGAGTTTTACAGTGATTTCTGTAAATTAATTGAGATTCACACTCTTTTGAACAAGTCCGACATTCAATCGCCCCGACGTTCGTCATTTTCGATGAACTTCCTGTTTTGTCAATTTCCTTGCTCGGCTTTGTTTGTTCCCCGATTGGATGCTTTGATTCCTCTTTCGGTGCTTCTATGCTTTCTCTGTTCGATATCTCAACAGCGTTCGTGATGCATTCCCGACTAGCTACTATCTGTAAGCTTCCGGGTGGCTTGAGTACTTCTGTAACAAAATGGTCAATATCTCTATAATGAGCGGGATTGCAGTAGAATGTGACCGTGTAATCCTCTTTGTTAATTATCTGAGACTGTGCATTATTGATTTCTTGCTGCAGTTGTTCCGGCTGGTCTGGTTGTTGGTCTAGTTCTTGTGATTTGTCTAGTTGGTGCGATAGATCCAGATGTTCTGCTTGGTCTGGTTGTTGCGGTTGGTCTGGTTGTTGTGATTTGTCTGGTTGTTCTGATTGATCCAGTCCCTCCTTCTCTTTCGATGCTTCTGTTTCCTGAATTTTTCGCTTTTCAAAAACGGGGTGTTCTGATGTGATCATCGCGAAAACCCTCTCATCAAGTAAATAATGAATTTCCTCCATCTGAGATGTTTTCCCAACTAATTTCAGTAACATTTGTCTCACTCCGATCTGTTTCGGAAGGCCATTGCACAACAATTCTATTGCCTCTGCAAAATAACAAAAAAAACTATTAGACGCGATGATGTACAACTTTGCAGTAGACTGCTATTGCCATGCATCGGGATCATCAGAATGTATTCTTTAATATCGTTGTCTTCTCTATGAATTGCAGTATCAATATATTTAATTGTCACTCACTCAAACTTTGGCGTTTGGGGGCGATTTCAATCGATACACTAAATCCCAATCTTGTTAGCGTGTTTTCTATCATTGATAATGGAAGCGGTAAACCTGTTTCACGATTGAAGACGCGTTCCGAAACTAACGAACAAACATCTTTGAAAACATCATCCTTCTTTACTTGACGCTCTTTTTCAGAAACTTGTAATTGACCGTCCCTCATGATAATTCGAGCGATCGCTGTACGGTCTTTTGTCCCAAATGCCTTTTGTAGGTCTTGGATTTTCGCAAATTGTCCTTTGGATACATTGGAGAAGATTTCTTCTGTTTGTAGCACTTCGCTCAAATCAGTTTCTGTCCCAATTCGCCAATTGAGAATTTTATTCTTGAAGCAAGCAACTTCGAACCGTTTTCCATCCTTTTTTAATCGCATTACTGCGATGTTCGTCAAACGAACTTGATTAATTGGTTGTTTTAACATTTCGGAAAATTAATGAACCATCAGGGACAGAGAACACGTGACGGAATGGAAGACGCCCCCAAAATGGAGTCCGCCAACTCTCCGGAGCAGCAAATTCCTGAAACCCCGAAATACAACAATTATATGGAGGTTTATTTGTCTGATAAATATCTCAATTTTCGGTTGTTACAGCAAGTGTCAGAAGAGGAGGCAATTGCCTACAATCGTGCGCAGACTGTTACAAAGCTGCTTCAAGAAGGCTGCTTGATAAAAGCAGGTGTGATGGGTGCGGGAGGGGGAGTTCTTGGACTTCTTTTCGGGACATTCTTCTTTACAATGAGGCCAGTGGAAATTGATACCTCACTTCCAATGAGACAGCAAATCAGACAGTCGTATTCGGGATTTGGGACAGAAGTTCTTAAAAGTGCGAAGGGATTTGCAAAAATTGGCTTTCTGTATTCACTGTTTGATTGTGGAATTGCAAAAGTAAGCCCATTCCCGAAATCTGGTTTGAAATAGGCACTAATGAAATAATGCGACTCACTAGACGCATTTGTAATTTGCAGTATCGAGCGAAGCAAGACATCTACACAGCGATCTACGCGGGATGCGCAACAGGGGCGGCACTTGCTTGGAAGGGTGAGACTGCTTAACCCGCACATTTCATCATCTTTTGTTAGGCGGGCCGTCAAGCATGGCAGCTGGTTGTGTTGGATTTGGTGCATTTTCGGCACTAATGGAAAAATGGAATCCCTTAGCTTCGTCTAATTAAAACTTCGTATGTTTCAAACAAATGTTCTGGCTCGAAGAAATCGACGCAAAAGCAGAAGTTGTGGCTGGGTTTATTCTAACCCAGCAGAATTCTGTATTGCTTCAAATCCTTTCGCTAGAAAATCAAGGGTCCCTCTCAGGCCAATGGCATTTCGCAGTGCTGGTCTTGCGAACTCAATGGTGCGTTCCACCGATTGAACAGGCACTTGCACGATCTGCGAAGTTTCAGATGCTGCGGTTTTTCCTGAACGAACGGAACGTTAACAAAGCAGCTACTTCAGAAAGCACTTTGAAAGTTGTTTGCACCACGTAATTTCTCACCAAGCCCAACAAACCACTGAGGAATAGTCCCAGCAGCACCCAAGTTGATTCTGTAATAGAGACAAGTCAACGCATCTCTTTTCCGTCAGAATTACCGCTCTCCTGCTAGAACTAAGCTTTTTCCCAATCCGCCAAATAGACCAAGCAATGGATTACCGAAAGTGTCAACAACTGAAACACGTCGAATTAACTTTAAAGTTTCGTGTGTTCAATGTCTCTTACATGTTCCACCCTGCTCAACGTCTGTTGTGTTGGGGAAGGGTCCCAGCAATCCAAGTCCTAACAGAAAACCACACTGACACCGCGTAATGATGTCTTTCGTACCAGCCCCCTGGCAATAGATCGCTCCATTCAGTGTAACCAATAACGCAAGACAATATTTCATTGTTATTTTTGTGTGGATCTTGCTAGGCACAATGCACTCCTGGATTGCATTTGTTTGAAACGAGCGTTCATCAGATTGATTTTTTTTAATTTCGCCTAAACGACTAAAAAAGGTTCATGACCAAAATAAAAATGAACACTAATGATATTTTCTTGGTTAACAGCCTTCCACAGGAGCAGTCGATGCGGCAGCACTTGCGGCTGGTGCAGTTGTAGCAGCGGTTGGTGCAGTTGTAGCAGCGGTTGGTGCAGTTGTAGCAGCGGTTGGTGCAGTTGTAGCAGCGGTTGGTGCAGTTGTAGCAGCGGTTGGTGCAGTTGTAGCAGCGGTTGGTGCAGTTGTAGCAGCGGTTGGTGCAGTTGTAGCAGCGGTTGGTGCAGTTGTAGCAGCGGTTGGTGCAGTTGTAGCAGCGCTTGGTGCAGTTGTAGCAGCGGTTGGTGCAGTTGTAGCAGCGGTTGGTGCAGTTGTAGCGGCGGCTGGTGCAGCTGTAGCGGCGGCTGGTGCAGTTGAAGCGGCGGCTGGTGCAGTTGTAGCGGCGGCTGGTGCAGTTGTAGCGGCGGCTGGTGCAGTTGTAGCGGCGGCTGGTGCAGTTGTAGTGGCGTCTGGTGCAGTTGTAGTGGCGTCTGATGCAGTTGTCGGCTCGGGCGTGGAGGTCGTAGATGCAACTGAGATTGTTTCTCCTCCAGGGGACTCCGTAGTACTTGCTTCATTGGAAGCTCCTGCACTAACACTGAGGAGACACATCTCAAGAGCCGATTCCGCTACAAGTTACCTTAAAAGTGGAGGAGTTGTGCTTTGGCTCTCGCCAGGGATCGCGGTGGTTGTAGTCGTGAGCGAGTTGATGAATTGCCTTACAATGTCAACAAACTCGTGCAAATTAAAAGAGCCACTTCCATGATAATTTTTGACTGCGAAGTCACCTATGGTGATCTGTTTGAGGATTGAAGGGAATTCAAAAATGACATTCGGCAGGGAAGTCAGGTTTCCTGACTCGATACCGCGTGACGACTCTGCAAGCATGATGAACACAACGCGAATGCCGGTAGTGGAGTCCAACCTGTGTTGCTTTCAGAATTATCTCTCAGGTTGTTCTGCGGCCTCAAATTCCTCACACTTTCTCTCCAACGCAAATTAGCGACTCGTTGGTTCCCTGGAGCCTCCCGTTGTCCCCACACTGGTATGACCGTCGGGCGGGCTGCCGCAGTACACCGCTTGAACGAGTTTGAAATTTAGTTTGACTTGCCTGGTGCTGAAAAACTGCCAAACGACCCGCCAACACCTCCCCAGCCTAAGAGTTTCCGTTCAGAAATGCGAAAAGTGGCGGCAAATCATACCTGAATGACCTAAAAACGCAAAGTGATAAATTATATTGACTCCTTCATTCCTGACCAAAGGTAGGTGCTCCGCTCGAAAATGCAGAGGCTCCAGGATCAAAGCCATAGAGAGATGCAAAGGACCCTAGAAAGCACGATCCATTAGAAGGAAGTTAAAAAACAAAGTGTGGCCAAGTACCGAAGCCACCGAAACCTCCATCTTGCAGCATTCTCGCTGAGCCCACTTGACCTATGGTGCACAGTATTAGGGAGGCACTGCATCATTTAACTCACCATCTTCAGCGTTTGCAGAATTGAATCGAAGCACACATGTCAAAATGGCAGATAGAGCAACTATGGATTTCATGATCGCGGTTTTATAACAAAGACTGCGTAAAAGCACTGGAGTTAAAAACAACTATTGAAAGAATGAAAGCTTTCTATCAGCTGAAGAAAAAACCACAAATAGGGCTTCAAAAATGTTTTTTAGCTGTTCTTTTTTTTGACAGATTTCGACCGATCAATTTTAATAATCAATTTTGTGGATTTAATTGCGAACACTGAATAGATTCAGACACCGAAACTGCTAAAATCACTGTACCATGATGGAAAATTCAATAAAATGAGCGATCCATTTGGATTGTCAAAGCAGCGGGTAAGAGAAGAAGAACTGACAATGAAGTTTTTGTTGTTCCATCATTGTAGCTGGAGGAGTTGCGCCTTGCTTGGAACGAAACTCGTCGCTACACTAAGTGTAAAACAAAGACCCTGAACTTGAAGCAGTTCGGGCTGCTTCTCAAATCAATGGGGATTCAGCTTGCCGCAAGAGATTGGTGGATTTTAGAACAAGGTAGCCAACATCCACTTCACTTCACTTCCTTACTTGTCGTTGTTTCAGAATATAATGCACGAGGGGAGTTCGTTTTCGAAGACCTTGTTCATTTAGCTTCGGCTGGTTGGACAGAAGAAGTTTTAGAACAATCGCTATTAACTGGATTGCAAGAATTAGACAAGAAGGGCACAGGATATGTGGAAGTCTCAGCGTTGAGAGAAACACTTTATAAAATTGGTAGGTCTCTATCAGTAATTTGGATCAACCGACGCTAACCAGGGATAGCGATTCGGTTGAGCCTCTTCGAAATAGACGCCTTTCTGGAACAATTTGAAGAAGCCAAAACAGGGAAGATTCCAATTGACAAATTAGTACTAAGGTAATTGAAGAGCGTTAAATCAATTCCAAATTGATCAATGCAGATTGCTAGCTGACTAGACCACAAAACAAGAAAATGACACAAAATCATTTAGTTGAGAGAAGAGTTATTTCGAAAATCAGATCAGAATTCGGTGGAATTCCGCCAACCTTTTGCTTTCCATAAGCCAAGCGAGAAGGAATAAACACTCGCCGCTTTTCTTGCTCCAACATTCCTAAAAACCGAAAATTCAGCAGGAATTCGTCTGTGCAATCTTACCTCTGGCACCTAGATCAAACCCCTTGATCATGTCGCCACCACCAATCGTAAAGTCTAGTGTTCCTTTATCAAATTGTTTTCCATTTGCTAATCTGCCTTCATATTTGACTTTCACTCGTTTACCAATCGTTGCAATTTTTGTTCCACGACCCACCCCCAGCACTTCATATTTCACTCCGCCTGCAAGTTGGCGCACAACCCCAGGGGCCACATCAGATTTCTTCTCTTCCTTGGCGGGATTCTGCTTCCCCTCCTTTCCCTTCTTTTTTGGCGACGGTTCTTTTGTTTCTGGTACTGATTTTTCAACAATTGTGGGCGCTGATTTTTTGGTATCCGCCTCGGTGCTGACTTTCATTTTCTTCGCTGCTGGAGCGGCAACATTCTCATCAGCTTGTCTTTTCTTGCGTCCTGATTCCTGTGCTGGTGATAATTGGCTTCCCAAAGATGCTTTTTTCGCGACGTTCTGAGGAATCACTAACACATTCTCATTCTTTTTTTCATCTTTTTTATTGCGCTCTTGCAAAATCTGGTTGGCTTCTTCATCGGTGACTTCAACAATACGTTCGCTCTTCTCACTCTCTGACTCCGATTCCGATTCAGAATCCGACTCCAAATCTTCAATACCGTCTAAGCCCCTCTTAAGCTTGTCCAGAAAACGCCTTTTAATTTCTGAATTTGGAATTGAATTTTCCTCATCTTCCTCTTCGTCGAAGTCGCTTTCATCCAATCCATCGAAGCAGAAATCTTCGTCGTCCTCGCTGTCGTCGAAATACCTGAAAAAAAAACACTCTTTCAGTTCATGAACTGCTGCAAAAAACAGACCTGTTGAGTCGCCCAACTAAAGCAACTTCACCACTCTCCACACAGAATGTAACGTTCTCTTTGAAGGGAAGCAGAGTTCGAAAATTCGGCGCATTCTCGCTCAATCGGGCAAGAGTGAACTTCCTCCCACCAGACAAACACACAGACAACAAGGTCGAGCTCCCCGATACCAGAGTTGCATTTCTGCACGCCAAAAAAACAGAATTACGCTTGATGGATTTGTGTGACGTACGTCAGTTCCAGTTCTCTGTCCTCACAAATGAATTCAAGAGGAGTGTCTGCCTTGACTGAACCGCCTGAGGGATAAATTAAAAAATCGTTGTCGTCGATGCCCACAATACTCACCCCAGAGAGACCTCATGACGTCACCCATCCTGAAGTTGCTGGCTGTTTGTCTGATTCGTATCTGTCCCATACAGCTTGTCCCCTTCCCGTGACAGACAGTTTGACCGCCTCAATTTGTGACGTGTTCCTTGTTCGAGAACCATGGGGGAAATCATTCCACCAGAAATTTTAGCTTTGTTGCACCGATTAGTTGCGGACCTTCGCGGATTGCGTAGATTTAAAAATGTTTCAATGCAAAGAAGGACTGCAAGCATTGAAGAAGAAACATCACACTTCGCCAGCGATTTCTTGAATACCGAAGAAAATAGAAATCATCTCGTTGAAGCCATGCGAGGAATGGCTGCCGTGTTCAATGAGTTGAGCGGATTACGGCATGGGAAGGATATTAAGCTTCTGGCAGGAAGGATTAAAATGCGAGGAGACAGAAAGCATGAATGTCAGAAAGAGCAGACGGAATTAATGGAACCTGATTACTTTGATGAATGTCTTGAATTGGTCGATGGAATATTTAACGAAATCCACGGAATATTGACAGGTCGATCTCATGGAAAGAAGCGTGCGACGCGTTATCAGCGTGTAATCAGTTTCAATTTTTCTGTTCAGGTTGCGATGAATTGATCGACGGTGAAACACGATATTTATGTTGTGGCGTAGCTCACAATCTGGTCTGTATAACGGGAGGCTTGCCCACTTGCTTTAGGTAATTCGAAATGAACCCAATTATGAATCGCCATATGCGACACAACGTCGTATGACACCGGGCCACAACACTGTAGCAGTTCAAAATTCCATCATGAAATTTCTCTGTGAGACTTTTTTTTCAGGTTTGCTTTTTTCTCAGGAAAAGTTTTTCGCGGAAATCTAATGGAATATGAATTGCCAACATTGTCGTTTCTTCTATCGTTTTTCGCTAAAGTTAATTGCGATGACTTTCTGGTTGCTAACCTTCCAGCAATTTTGATTTGGTCTCGCGGGGTTGACGCTTTCCTCACAAGCGTCATTCCACTCAGAGCCTTCATCCAACAAGTCTGACGCTTTGACACGTAGAATGTCGTCACGCGATGCTCTCAAGTGGACTGGCTGGTTTGGCCTCGTTGGTCGATCTTCACGAGAATCTGCCAACGAGACTTTGCCAGCGTGTGGAGGTTCGCAGGAGACCTTTTGGATGTCGTACGAGAATCTTCTTCAGCGTCAGTCAATCGCTCTCGTCTTTTCCTTAATGGCGCGAAATATTCGGATTGGATCAATCAATAGTAGTTTGGACGGGAAGAATTTTTTGATTGAGAAACAGCCTGATCTCGAAAATTTGATAATAACATTTTTGCAACAGCAGCAGTCATCTGAAATGGTGATCAAAACGTCTCTTGGTGATCTGCTTTCGCTGAAAGAAGATCTTCAATGGATTGATGAAGAGAATTCTCGTCGGGGAAGTTACACGAGGGATCTCTCATCAATAGGCCTTCAAAGTAAAAGATCTTGGAGCGGAATTTTAGATCCAAAATCTTGGGGAATAGGAAGGAAGGAAAGTCGCTCGAAACAAGAAGTCAATCTCTCATATGAATCTATTGAGTTGAATGGTAAAAAATGTTCCCAACTGGTGACATGTTTGTGTCCAATCCGGTCACTTGGAGATGGAATAACGTTATCAAAAAATGATGCAACCGCAATAATGTCTCAGCTACGAGCACCTGGTATGAACTGCAGTAATATTTCAATCTTCAATTCGGCAGTATCGCTAACGTCATCGTCAAATGTGCAAGGGATCTTACAAAAGCAGCTTGACGACTTGGTGTCCCATTTCTGTCCCAATGATCATTTGGTCAGTTCCCAAGTATTCTCCTCGACGCGTCTTCTGCTAAAATGGATCAGACATCAATTTGTCGACGACGCTGGAGCGACAGGTAAATGTTCCTGCCGAATGAAGACATTTTCATCATTTCCCTAAGCCTTAAAGTTCAAGACATTTATTTATCAACATTTATATATTTATCTAATGATCTCTATTTTAGTGATACGACGCGGTTTATCCGATGAACTGAATTCGAGCATCGTCAATTATTGTCTTCGTTTAATCGAACAATTCATATCATGGAAATCAAATGTATGTCTTGATTTTCTAATCCTTCAGCTTCCTTCCTCTCTTCCGTTTCTTCTCTTTTTGTGTTAATCAGAAAAATCTTCTTGAAGGCCAATTATCTTTGTCGACATTCCCACGTTTATCACGTGGATCCATCGAGTCCCATCATCGTCCACGCAACATTGCTCTCGTTTTCTCCCCACGCAATCGAAATTCTCAGACAGAATCGCCAATTCTTCCCTCCGTTGAGTTGGTGCAAGGAAGCGCTGAGATCTCAGAGCTCTTCAGGTCCCGGAAAGCCGCTCTTCTTACAAGCGTTCCTATATTGAAGAGAGTCGCAGCTGGAGGGCAAAATCGATCTTTCTCGTCTTCTGTTGCGGAAAATGTGGAGGGAGATTCACACTACGCACAATGCTCAGAGTTCCAATTGCAGAAGGATATGATGGTTGGTGCTGTCGTCGAGGGAATTGAGCTTTTGCATGAATTGATCGAACTCAGCGAAATGTAAGACACGTCGATCAATACTGGCATTGGGACATTGTAGATCGTTGGCAAATTACATGAGTGCTGTGACTTCATTGCTCTCTAGAGTGTCAGCTTCTTATGATTTGGGACGCAGTGGGTTACTTTTGGGACAAATCAGAGCTCCGTTGATTGCAGTAGGGAGTTTCAATAACGCATTGTCAAATATAATTCTCAGGCTTTCGGTCGTGCTGCTGGTGATCCAGAATTTGTTCCAATTTTATTCTCAATCGTCAAAACATTATGGAAATATCAAAATGTAAGCATCTCTAAGGAAACACATTTCTCTCAAATTATGATGGATAGAAATAAATATCCATAGAAATAGATCAATTCAGGTTGAACAACGTCGTACTTCACTACATGCAACCCTATCGAGTTGTATCGCTGCTGGTGATCATCCAATTGGTTTAATGGTTTCGATCCAATTGATGGAATTTATCAAACAAATGCCTTTGATTGATTCCGTTTCAACAATCGCTCCTCTTCTTCCAGGATTAATCAAGGTACAAAGTTGCATAGTCATATCTCTCCTAATCGCGCTCTTTTCAGTTAATTGCTTGTTATCCAAGAGGAATTTACTCCGAAGTAATTTCACTGATTCCCACATTGTTGACTCGATCCCCTCCTGAAATGAGATCCTCTATAATTGCGGATTCAATCCACACAATTCTTGATCTTCCACTTTTATCCTCAATCGTCCACACTTTTCACTCACTTAATCTCGCCGTCGTCTGTTGTTCTTCTCTTGATGTTCCAGCGAAATCACATTCCCGCCAACACACGTCTTCCCAGAGTCCGAAGACTCTCGCAGCGCAAGATTTTCATCTCTGTGTCTTTGATGGCCAATCGCAGGATGGGATGTCGTGCGCATGTCAGCACGCGCGTTCCCTGTCTCATTATTGCTTCCGACTTTTGTCACGACGAAGAGGTGCGATCGCTGCCAAGTTCCTGGTTATTTTTGTTTTCCTACTGCAGCCCGCAAAGACTTCAATGAAGCGCGCTCGCTACTTTTATCTTTATCTCAGTCCGTCCCTGTCGCGATTGCTCTGCACTTGCTGCTTTCATGTTCTCAGAAAATTCATCTTGTCAAATCGTCAGAAATTCGTGTCCCAATTATCCTTCGAGCTGCTTGGATTCTTTCTTAACTTACAATTTCCGACATTCGATGGGTGGAATCTTGAAAATGATAAATCGATTGAATCATCATCATCATCTTGGGAATTTCCAGGTTGGCGTCGGTGTGTCTCTGACTTCTCGACATCTTGGTCTTTCTGTCTCAAGATGCGTGTATAATTCCCATTTTCGATCGTTTTTGGAATATCTGTCCCAATTACGGATTTTCATCAAAGTGTCAATCTCTCTGTCTAGAAATCCTTCAACAGTCTTTCGCTGCGCACCCATCTCTCTTTGTGAGTCTTGATGAAACTAATATCTTATCAAACGTTTATTTTCCCATCTTTCTCAATTTTGAAGGCTTATACACGTTTTGAGATTGTAGAGTCGTTGACTCCTACTGCGGGAAAATCTCTTTTCGTTCATCCAAACAATTCCTTGATGTCCTTCATTTGTAGAATTGTCTCGCGCTATTTTCCATCTTTCAATCAATTTCAAAGAGATCTTAAAAAGAGTTCCACTGATGATAAAAAGAGTTCTTTCACTGATGATAAAAAGAGTTCTTTCACTGATGATAAAAAGAGTTCTTTCACTGATGATAAAAAGAGTTCTTTCACTGATGACTCTTCTGTTGAGGTCCCAATTCCATCATCGCAGCCAACAATTTCTTCGTTATACAACCAGACAGTCGAGCTTATCTTTGCAGCTCTTGAGAAAATCATTAACGACATTTTGCAAGCTCTCAACATGCCGTTGACGAAACCCACCGATCGTGAGTAAAATATTCAATTTTTGCATAAATACGTTGATTGCTGAAACGACATCTGTCTCTCTATCATTTCAATTCAGATGAAGCCCAGGATCATCATCGAGACATCGCATCGCCGTTCTATTTCTCCTTTGACGCATCCACGCAGTTCACGGATGGGCCACTACGCCGGAAGGAAAAACAGTCCCAAAATAACAACGACATGTGTCCCAATCGACTGTTCACTTTTTTCACACCTGAATTCTTTTCAGTTCTGTTTGAAGCAGTTTCTGTTCTTGGTGAGTCAAACGACGCACAAATTGATGCGTATGCTGATTCTGGTTGAGAGCTTAGCGTTCCCTGTCATGACGTCCATATCCACATGGTCTCGTTCCTCAGCTTGGATTAACCGTCAATACTTCGAACAAGCAATCCGCTGCACAACGAATGTACGCAAAACATGAGGAAATGATATATTTCCTTCTTTGTTTCAGCTGTTGCAAAAATGTGAACAACTAACAATTCATCCACATCTTAGTGATTGGCGAATTGGTTCAATAGAATCGATGCGAGTTTCTATAAATCGTCTAGAAAGCGGACAATCGATACAATCAAGATGCGTTTAGCGATACACGCAGTCCCAAAATTGTTCCTACTTCGTCCCTGAACTCATACACGTAGCTCAAAAAACACAACACCGTTTATGGGCTGGCGACTTATGAAGATACCACTCTCATCCGACAATTGTAACAATGTCCCATTCTCTCCCACCTTGAAGAAAAACAATCCATAACAGATCATTTCGAAGACATCTTACATAAATAGCGGCCACTCGCTCATAATGATCATTTAATCTCCACAATTCTAACAATCCACGTCGTGATGCATAAATCAACAATCCAATTTGCGTAGAATCGTGATTCAATTTGATCCAAACTACTTGAGCATCGCGATATCCCTTCCACATTTGAATCATCCTCAGTGTTGATGTGTTAGTGAGAGTGACCTAAATGGAATGTTGACATCTATTGAGTGGTTCATCAATGTAGAGTGATGATATTGAGAGAGAGTGATGATATGGGGACAGACTGATTACATTGGGACAGAGTGATGATATTGGGACTTACCCTTCCAAGCCGATCCGTAATAGCGCCCCACTGAGGTCTAAATGGACAAACTGAGATTGAGTCTGCGATCCTCCCACGATCAGCAGCCATGAAGAGTTCTGGTAATTGAATTGCTGAAGTTTCTTGCACGTAGCGATGGACTGTCATTTTCAAATCCCGTAATTTCGATGGATCTTCTTCTGCACTCTCATCGTTAGAGTCGATTGTTCTTGTTTGGTCGGACTGACTTTCAGGAACTCGCTGCTTCAGACGTCCAAACGAAAACGGTGCGACAATTGACAACGCTGTTGTCGCAACAGACACGCCGGCTTGAACAGTCGTCGAGAAGAATCCCGGAACGCGCGTCTGGTCTTCAGTTCCAAGATCATCCACTGGTGGTCGCTGATGCTTCTTCTCCTGCCTTGGTTCCAGCCCTGGTGTCACTTGCAGTATAGAGCTATCGAGCAAGGAAATGTGTATTTTGAAACAATGGATTGATGCCAACGGACTTCCGATCACTAGGAGTGTGTTTTGGGCGCTTCGTGTCGTTAACGGCCTTGAATTTGTCTGATTTGGTTCCCTCTATGAAAAAAATGGAAAAGCGTCAAATATGGAAATAAAATTAATCGAATGGAAGGCAATGAGCCTCATCCAAGAGTTAATAAGGATTCAAACTCACAACAGACTGGGATGCAGCTCTCTTGACCTTTTCCTTGTTCGATGATCGAAACAACGAACTTCTACGAACTGAAGAACAGAAATGAACGATTTCGAAACTTCAAATTCTACAGCGACTCACCTCTTAAGCTTGTCTTCGTATTAGATGGAGCTGCTTGCAACACTGATAGGGTTGCTGGTGCTTGACTGACACGTTCCTGAACCCAGGAACTCCAAAACTCTAGACGACGGAACTCAAATTGTGACATCCGTGTGAGAGTTGGACGATCTGTTGGAGCAGCTTTCCCAAACGTGGAGGCAAGGAAGTGAGACATTCCTCTACCATGCGAACGTTTTCTAGGAGTCGACGAATCAAGCAACAGGGATGAATGTAGATTAGTTGATGATGTGGCTAGTGGGACAAGAGCGATGTCATTGACTATTCGATGTGTGGGATGATTGGATAACCTGAAGATGGAAGGAATAGAACTTTGGGAGAAATTTTTGAACTTGCTTGACAATTGTATAATCGCCGGGGCCGAAAGATAATTTATCTCCTTTAATGATTTGTTCCACGTTGCTTGACAACAATTGGAGCTGAAGGAAGCAACGAAGCGTTCAGAACGCGACGATCAAAAGCGTTACCACGAGAGAATAAGGCTCAGAGCGACTTTGAGGCTTAGAAGTGTTGTTGTTAAGGATGGTGATGATTGACCAACATTTGGGACACAAATGGTTGGGATGGAAATCATAGAGCAGGAAAATAGAAGAACCTTTTGCGGATGGAATCACTTGAGAATCGATTTCTGATGGAACTGAACCAAAATTGGGACAGACAGTCCGAATACGACGAAGAATAGTGCAACACGTTGATGGAGGGTCCGAAGTATGAAGTGGATTGGAGGAGTGGCACAAGGAAGTCCCACAATAAACCGAAAGACGCCCACTAGAGCAAACAAAGAAATATCATTGAATAATCGGGATTCAAGCGAATAAAAGAACATGAAGTTGAATAATTGGAAAGACCAAAAACACAGCGAGTTAATGATGAAAACAACGCGAACCTCTTAAATCCAATTAGCAGCGACGGGATCTGATTTTCTACAAGTTTGCACCATTCCTGTGAAAAATGAAACAAGATGACAAAAAGAGGTCCTTTGGGAGATTACCATCGCTGTTAGAGTCTCATCAACATGTTCGTCAGGGATAAACACACGCGACAATTCTGAATAGGGACTTTTACGAAAAGACTGAGGATCTATTTTTACCCCTCAGGGATTTTTTGGCTTTGTCCCATTCGAACCTTCGGATCGACTTTGCTCCAAAGGATCCTCCATAAACAGCAAGTAGAGAAGTTTCATTCGCTACAAATGTTGCAGCAATTCCATTTTGAATTGTTGGAGAATTGATACCAGAATCAGATACTGGGTGACATTCAGTCTCTAGTACTATTGGATGCAAGAATGGGTCCCCCTACTCCAGAAAACATCGTCTAGTCGCACAGATTCAATTCTTGGCGAGTGTTTCATTGTACCCTAACATTTTTAAAATCTCTTTCGTTGTTCGGATATTTTGTAGTTTGAGTTGTTTAATCCTTTCCTTAGATTCAGTGACACAATTTAACCCAACTGACAAACAACCAAGTTACTCCTCTCTTGATGTATGAATCATCCCGTTTGTCCTTGTCTGGTCGACTTACCATCTCGTGTGCGACGGGAATTCATCAGGCCAGACCCGAGATAGAATCCTAGAAGCACTCCCTGATGTTACAGTAAATGAGACCGGAATCGGTGTTTGATCAGATTGCGCTGAAAATCGGTCAATTTCAAACTCACCAATCCAAGCGATGCTTTGAATGCAACGGCAGCACCCAACGACAATCCACCCACTAAAATTCCAACCACGTAGCGTGCTTCCATTTTATCGTCGTATCCGATATTCATTTCCTACAAGAAGACATCAGTGGAACATCACAAGGTATTTCACCTTTAATATCACTGCTTGCAACTCCTTGATTTCAGAAATATTACGATCCATCTCATTGAATTTTTCTTTTAACTCGTCGAATTCGCTTGATGCACCTGGCAGAGCACGCAGCATCTGAGGATGAAGCAGGCGATTTTGTATTTTGTTCATTTCTTTTCATCACAACTTCAGTAGCGCTTACCATTTTCGCTTTCGCCAATGATTGATCGTCTAGAGTTTTTTGATATCTTGTGAGCAATTGAATCATTAATTGAAATTGCCGATGCACTTCGCGAGAACGTAAAAGTTGTAATTCTTTTTCGGCTAAAGAAGTTGTAAATTGACGGATATTGAGCTCATGCTTTGAGAAAAAAGGGAATAGACGAGGACGAACACGCACTAACAGCATCGCGAAGAGTCAGTTTCAATAAAATGCTGAAATAACGGAACAATAGATTTTGACCAACGGCTCATTCCAGCAATTTCGTTAAGTAATAAATTCAAATCTCTTGTACCCGAAAGTCAGAGGCACAGACTCCATGACGCTTAGAGTGCAATTCAACAAAAATTTCACAAACGTCATCCTTGTCTTTTTTCTCATCAACTGGTTTTCATCTTCTGTGAGTGTTCACTCTGACATGAATGGAGAGAGATTTCCAGCTCAGTCACTCAGCCTGACAGAAACCAACCCCCGTGGTGAGCGCCAAAACGGAGGGCGTTGAGCCTCTGCGAGCATCTATTTCAGGTGTTATTGAGTCACTTGAAGGTTCTTCATTCATGAATGCATCCGAAACAAGAATAATGGCAAAGCCGTTACATCAAAGTTTGCAGATATGGGCAAACTGATCCTTGCATGCGACGGTCAGTCTTACCGGTGAGTCGCTCAGAGATGCTTGAACGGTCGAGACTTGTCCGTCTTGCTACAGTTTTTTGTGGCATTTCCTTACGACTGGATGGTACCACGGCCCACGGATTGTCTGAATTGCAGTCCAATGCGGATGCTGATCCAGATTCAGTGAGTGTTCTTTGTGACAATGAATTCCATTCTCTCCCATTCAGATCGTTGAGAGACCCAGACGGTCTCCTCAATCTGTTCGCCGCTCTGGATCATCGGGAGTGCCAATCCGATCTGTTCGGCGTCGTTCATCTGCCTCTCTAGGGCCTGCATCAGGGCCAGTCACTGTTGCAGCTCCGCGCCGCTCTTCTTGGAGATTTCCGAAACTGTTACAGCGCATCGTCAATAGGAAGCACTCGCCGGTTTCTTCAAAAGAATCTTTGTCTGAAGTCGCTGCATCACCCGATGTCGAGGTATGTTCCTTTCAGTGGACGTCATGATGTACGCTTTTTGAAGTCAAGTGTTAAGGAAGAAGAGTGTTCAATTTGTCTCTCCCCGATGACGCCGAAGACAACAAAGACGCTCAAATGTAAGCACGCCTACCATAAAGAGTGCTTCAAGAAGTGGGACAAAGTAGGCGGGAACTGTCCACAATGCCGCGTCATGACGAAGAGAGGACGCCAGAATGACGTTATGGCTGTTATTGGACGGTATCAGGGAATTGTCCATATGTTCTGAGAAGCTAAAATAGCTTCCAGATGATTTTTAGCTTCTCAGATGGTTTTTTGAATTTCAGCTTGGTGATTGTTATTTTTTTGCATTTTGCGCTCGAATATCAAATAAATCTCGTAGTTCATTCATTATCACGCACGCAAAAAACCAAAAAAAAAAAAAACAAATGAAGGCGCTACTGCCAGCACATGTAAACACACAATTAGACTTATTCGTGTGATTTATCAGACGTTAAGTGAAAAACATCTTCGAGGAAATTTGCTACCTCATCTGTATCCTTGACAAAGAATGAGGCAGCAGTTTGGCGGGAGTTGCTGACAGATTGAGTTTTGACGTCGTTGTCCGAGACGAGAATCCCGAGATGCTTGTCACTATCTTGACAACGAATCACTGTAAACGCATCTTCATCAGTTAGATCATCCCCGATGTAGATTAGCCGCACCTGACAGAACGACAAAACACATGGATAGAATTCATAAGGGTCATGACATATAGAATAAACGCAACATAGAGTAAATGCTGAAGAAAATGGCAGGGAGTTCACTCGCGTTGCTCACGTCGGGGTCTTTCATGTCGACCTGCATTGCTTGTAAACACCACATTACAGCACGTCCTTTATCCCACGAAAGATTAATTCTAAGCTCAAAAACCATTTTGCCCTTCGTTTTTCTCAACGTTGGATACCGAGCAAGAATCGTGTCAATGTGATTCTCGATTTCAGCGCAATATTCGGGGGGAACATTTCTGAAGCACAACCATCTAGCCACAACACAAGCAGTATTGATCTCCCACCTGTAATGAACTGAAACTGCAAATTCGTTGTCTTCGAGTGCTACTCCAGGAATATAACCCAACACCTCTGAAATCTCTAATGCTGCTTCTCTGAGAGCTGGAATGAAGCGAGCACCCACTTTATGATGGAGTTGCTGTCCAGCCGCTTCAATATGAAATCCATGGCTTGCTGCATAGAGAAACTTCAACTTCTCTGTTGCGGTTATTTGAATGAAGCCCTTAATGGACCGAAGCGCGCGTCCCGTGACAACCCCAACCGTGACCTGATCGGAGTGGGCAAGACCGTAAAGAATCTTCCTGATTCTCTCAGACAGAATTGCCTCTGCAGGATTTGAGATGATAGGAGTGAGCGTTCCATCATAATCCAGAAACATGAAAATTCTTTTGCCTCTTAAATCTGCGAGAACCTGATGTTTTCGCCTTTCGTAATGAGGAAGCAATCGGACCTCTTGGGTGAAGCGATCTGGTGGGTGGAGTTGACTTGCAGCAAGTTCATCAGAAGTTGAATCGTCGAGGAGGCTTCCTCTTCTTGGACAAGAGAGGCCGTCGCTAGAGTAGCGGGAAGCCTGCTGAGTTTTGTAAGTTTTGGATTCATCGACAATTTCATCATTGTGGTGTTGGAGAGTCCAGGAAGGAGCACAGTCAGCGAATTTGAGGAAAGGGGCGGGGCGATGCCTTGACGATATAGAGGTCATAGTGAACAGAAAACGGAAAACAGCTTCACAACGCAAGAGCAATTTCCGTCTATGAAATAGAAAACCGAACGAAAAGAGCTTCGTAGAAAGCAGAATAAAGACCTGGTAAAAGAAAAACGCAATTCTGGTGAGCGGTCAGTTATAGTTTCACTTGCACGCAGTGCTGATGAGGAAGGAAAACACCGGGGATCAGCCGCAAGTGCACTCGATGAGCAGCTCGTTCATTCTAAGAAACTAGAGATGGAAAAATTCTAGATTGGACCATTCGGGTCATTCTAATGGATAACTGACGCATTGCAGTGCGCAACTTGAGCGAAACCGCTTCACAAATGAGGAATTCAAGAATTATGACGAATTTAGTTTTAAATTGAATTTTCTTTATAACAGCAGTCTTAAAAATGTTCAGGTACACTACTCAGATCTCTTTGATTGCATGCAGTATTGCGGGTCTCTTTTCATGATCTCACCATCGTCAGTCTACACTTCCGTTGTTGAAACTTCTGCCATATCATGCAAATTACGAACACTTCGAGCAGTTCTTCACGTTATGTGACTACCTCTACTCGTAGTGGTGGGGTTCATTACCCAGCCACAATTTCAACAGTTCATCATCGATCGGGACCGATTGTGACCTCGGGTCCAATCAGAACCAGCACTTCCACTACAAAGAAAATTGTCCAGCATGGTTATGGGGCCCGGCTTCTCAACAACTACAGTTACAAGCCGATCAGCTGGCGGTTCGATCCCCACAATCTGGGCACAGCCCGCACTTCAATACATCTCTTCACAACTCGACGCTGCTGCCCAGATGGTTCAATAACACTCTTCTCCCATCTACCCAGATGACTTCACACACTGGGTTCGATTACAACTAGAAATTATGAATGGAAGTGTGGATCAGATGGTGTGATGCGTCGAGTTGTTGTCGAGGAGAGTGAAAGCACTATTGGGGGGACCACACCAAGAGACTCCTTGGCAGAAGGCACAGTCAAACAAGACTTCTCGAAATGGCAACCAACCATTCAAATATCTCCAATTGAACGAGAGCAGACTCCAGCTATCCGTCAAGTCTCCATTGATTCTTCAGATGAAGGAGCGAAATCGGAAGTCGCGCCTGTCGAAAAGGCTGAAGTGACTCGGAATGGCTCGGATGAGAGTTGCAGCAGAGAAAATGATGATGGCCTCGAAATTGAAGCAGGCTGAGGAGGAGAAGAAGCAGGAGGTTCAACGACGAGCTGAACTTGAGGACCAGATGCAGATGATGAAAAGCGCGAATCCTGCTGGTTCACTCGAAGGGTCAACTGAGCAAGATGATGGCAGAAATTGAACAGTTGAAGCTTCAACAAACAGACGAATCTGCGCTTCGTCGCCAGATTGAAAAGGAAGTTGAAGAGAAGAGAAAGCATGAAGAAAATCAGGTGGGAATTCTTCGTTTAATGCGACTGTT